TATTATACCTTTTTAAAAAAAAAAATTTCATATAGTTAAACACAGCTTTTTTTGCCTTGGTTTAAAAACAAACCGCTATGATTATTAGCATGATGATATGAGAAAAATGGGAACACGATGAGGATCACTTATGTAAGTAAAGTTAAAGAAAATAAGTTGCTTCAAAATTTAGCAAGAAAGGAAAATTACACTTCAACATGAAGTATTGTGCTAAAAATTTGTTGTGAGGAGTTTCTAAAGTGATATGGAAATTTGAGTTAGAACTTTCATCTTTTTGTTATCTTTGTGTAAACTTGAAAGAAAACATTGTCGTCATTTATGTTTTCTTAGTCAATCACGGTTGTGTGCTTCCTGTTTTTAATTTAGCTCATTTGTTTTAATATAAGAGTTTTAAATTTTACTACGGGATCTCATTTTTAAAGATGCATACAATATTCGGTAAATCTTTGACGTTGATGAATAATATTTTGAGATATTTTTCTTATTAGTGAATTTTCATCACAATTGATTCTTGTTTATGTTATTAAAGTTAGACACTTGGTCGATGCCGATCAACAATCATACGTGAACCTCAATGCATAGAAAAAAAACTGTGGGGTTAGTGACTAGTGTTAATGATGCTCTTATCTTTTGTTATGCACTAATGGTTCCTCTAATTGTCCGTTTTACCTTTAGACGAGTAGGTGATAATACACTCTCACTAGTAAAGGTCAAATTGTTGAAACAAAGTTGAGCTGGACTATACAGTATTAACCCTTCTCTTTTGTGCTAAAATATTTTCAAATTCTAATTAGAACATTTAGAACAATAAACAAACGGTCATAAAATCAAGTAACAACAAATAATGATAATAGCATGTTGGAAATGGAAACTTGCATTGAGCCAAAAATATTAAAAAAGAAACAAGGAACATGGAGAGAATTTAGGTGGAGAATAATGTGGGCATGGTCGGTTTTCTTGTTTTTTCTTTTTTGTTATTAATAAATAAATAAAAACCAGTAATTTCATGACACGATCCTCCCCGCAGCATATGATTCTTTCTCACTCTCTCACCGTTCACTCTTTAGTCCCCACTGACACTGAGGCGAGAGTGACCCTCTCTCTACCTCTGCAGCTCTGCTTTTTCGTATTTCTTTTCCCTTTGCCTTTTTTCTCTCTTTTTCATCTTTGTCTCTTGCATCTTTTCACACGCAGTTTCTTTTACACTCAAATACACTGGTTTTGTTCGAAACACAGAACCAATACCCATTTGAGGAAGAGCATCTCCTTGCTCATATCACTCACATCACATTCTTGCAAAACCCAGATAGGATTTAGGGTTTCTTACAATGCTGGCAGCTTGAATGTTTCAGTTCTGTGCTGTTCCGGGCTTCATTGTGAGAAAAGGAGTAATGGGTCGGAATGTCTTGGTGCTTGGTCTCGCCATTTTGGTTATTTTTGGAGGCGTCTCATCAGCTGCTCCTACTGCTCCAGCAAGTGAGTGAGTTTTTTGAATTTATGTATACATGACTGTGAGCTTAGCCGCTATATGATCTGCTTTTGGTTTTGGAACTTTGGTGTGTTTTCAATCCAAACTTTTTTTGTTTGTTGGTATTTTCAGAGATTGTCAGTGGGGTTTTTTCAAATGCTGCTTCTGCTTTCATGAAACGGCTGTGGTCACTCAGAGCAACATCCAAAACAGGTCTAGATCTCTGATGCTACCCGCATTTTCTTTTTATACTCTGTTGTTTTTTGAGGGTTTATGGTCTTCTATTCTGAAACGGTGGGGATTTGCGAAATTTATGTGTGCAGCGATTTCTGGCCGTCCGTTGATGAAGTATGAGAGTGGGTTTAATGTGGAGACAGTGTTTGATGGAAGCAAGCTTGGGATTGAGCCTTACTCTGTTGAGGTGTTGCCCAGTGGGGAGCTTCTGATTTTGGATTCTGCTAATAGTAACCTTTATAAGATCTCTTCCGCTCTGTCTCTCTGTAAGTGGCTTTTATGGAATGCATTGGGAAATTGCTTTGTTAGTTTGATTGAACTTGCAAGTAGAATTCTCCACTTTATGAAGTATGATTTGCAAAATCTGCTGTTTGGCCAAGTTAGTACTGGACTCGAGTTCTTACGATTTTTATATGCTTTAGTGTCTCTTTGAGCCAGTTTGTCTTGATTGGCAAGCATTTGCATGTAGTTCAAAGGCGATATTTCTTTTATTATGTTTGGGTTTTGGGATATGGGATCCAAAAAAGGATTCTAGCAGAAAGAAAAAATGCTGCTATTTTAAGGCTTCTTTATTCATGGCTGTGTTTCCAGGTGCAATACTATTGGTAACTGTGCTTTGAATCCCAAAATTCCAACATCTAGCTTTTATATTGATCTCGTCTTCCCTAAACTGGAAAGAGCCTTGATCTTTGTTGGATGCATGCTATATTGTGTCGATGTCTTCAGTCTACTATGTACTACAAATTACACTACTAAAATTTAAAGTGATTTGAAGAGCTTCCCCTCACGAAAATGGACTCCTTTATCATTGTTATGGATGCATTCAACTCTTTTGAGCTTGCATCTCTCATACTTTCACTCTATTTCATGGGAACACTGCAGACAGCAGACCAAAGCTGGTTGCAGGATCCCCTGAAGGATACTCTGGACATGTAGATGGGAGGACCAGAGAGGCAAGATTGAACCACCCAAAGGGGCTTACAGTTGATGACAGTGGAAACATTTATATTGCAGACACAATGAATATGGCAATCAGGAAGATAAGTGATGCTGGTAATTGCTAATTTTAAATTTGTTTAAGCATAAGTTTTTTTCATTCATGTTCAGCATATCATTACAAAGTGGATTTGTTTCCTTTTTCTTCGTTGTTTCATTCCGACCCTGTCTTCACTACAGTAGTTTGTTATTGTAGTACCAATCATCATCACCGTTATGATAATTTTTTCCCTAATTGGTAGCTAGATGTTTAATTTTGATGTCATTCAAATTTCTACTGTCAGGGGTTACAACAATTGCTGGAGGGAAACGGGGAAGTGGGGGAAGCCATGTGGATGGACCAAGTGAGGATGCAAAGTTTTCTGATGACTTTGATGTGGTTTACATTGGAAGCAGCTGCTCCTTACTCGTCATAGACAGAGGAAATCAAGCAATCAGGGAGATCCAACTCCATTTTGATGACTGTGCTTATCAGTATGGAAGTGGTTTCCCCCTTGGTAACTTCATTTACCCAAATATTTCCTTTTGGATGGTGTGAATATTGAAAAATACATAGGTACTGATTTTCATCATTGCAGGTATTGCAATGCTTGTGGGTGCTGGCTTCTTTGGTTACATGCTAGCATTGCTACAACGCAGAGTTGGTACAATTGTCTCTTCCCAAAATGTGAGTGCTGAGTTTTGCCTTCTATTCACTTTGTTGACATGTACACTTTGTGGGGTAGATGTTGGTTCTGCAGGTCATTTGTGTCCATCTTTCTTGTAGGAACTATTTGAAGTTACTCTCACATTTTGTTGGGTTTGTAAATAGGAAAAGTGGAATATTGTTGATACTTGAAAGAAAATTCTTTATGAAAAGAGGATTTTCTTTTTCTGGGAATCACTTCCTCAAAGTAGGACTTATTTTACACTTGCCTTGATTAGGAATTATGTACTACCTTTCTGCCATAACAACTTCAGTATGACAACAGTTTGATAAAAGTTCAATGTAATGCTTTTCCTTGAGAATCATAGATCATGACGTGTAGCATCTTCTATGACAGCATAGAACATTCGTTTACCTTTTATATTGCATTTTTGAAGGACCAAGGCCCAATGAAGACAAGCATTCCTCCAAGTCCATACCAGAAGCCTCTGAAATCAGTCAGGCCACCTTTGATTCCAACTGAAGATGAGCAGGAGAAGCAAGAAGAAGGCTTCTTTGGATCGATTGGGAAGCTTTTGGTCAATGCTGGGGCATGTGGTGCTGAAATTCTGGGAGCAATATTTCCTGGTTTCAGAAAAAAGCATCTAAACTATCAAGACCAAATTCAGCAGCAGCAGAAGCATTCAAATTCTTGGCCTGTGCAAGATAGTTATGTGATACCAGATGAGGATGAGCCCCCTTCTATTGAAACCCGAACCCCCACCCCACGCAAAACCTACCCATTCATGGCCAAGGATGCTGAAACGATGCATCAGTTGCGGCAAAGCCGAGTTTTCTATAATGGGTGGGATGATATTCAGCAGCAAAAACAACAACAGCATTATCATCGGTACCAATCATCAAACCCCAATACTTTCTATGAGCAGAGTTGTGAAAAAACCACTGAGATTGTGTTTGGTGCAGTTCAGGAGCAGGATGGGAAGGGTGAAGCTGTTGTCATAAAGCCTATTGATTATGGAAATCCCATGTTTAATCATTACAGTTTTACCTCCCAAATCAATCCTAGGGGTTATACCTATGGCTATTGATCATATATACGTAAGAGAGGCACATAGACATAGTTTTGATCTTATTTGATCTTTCATATAAATCTTTCAAATTTTAGGTTATAGGTGGTTTCAAATCATTTTCTGAGTTCCATGTGGAGAATTTCAGTCCTTGAGGTATCTCATTCTGGTCAACATATTGAAGGCCTTTGTTCAAGAATATTGTCCCTCTTATATAATTTCTTTCATAATTCAAGGAAGGCGGTCTTCTCTCGTGCATTATTAGATATCTTGTCATATCGCTTTCCCTGCTTCCTTGCAATCAAATTGCAAAGAGTGATATGGCCATTACCCTTAAGAATCAGCCTCACGAGTGTCAATCAGACGAAATGTTTTTCACGTTTTAACTGGATGTGTTCTTTGAATCACAAGCACTGGCACCTTTTTTTCCAAACCATTCATCATATAGTAAATCGGTTGGCTTTGGAAATTACCTATGCTTCTTTGCATTTTCAATTTGTCACATTGATTAAAATAAGAGAGAACGACTCTATTCATGTTTCACAAACCCAGTTTCCCAATTACTCGATGTTACGATCAAATCTAATAATTGAAATCAAATGAAGATTCTCAGTATAGAAGAACTCACAAAATGTAAGCACACAATCACGAACATGCCATTATCCAGATATTAGGTACTACTGATGAAAGGATTCAAAAACACTCACATGCCTCACAATTGGAGATAAGTTAAGCTATATACATACAATATAGTTGTCTTTCTTCAACCTTTTCATTTCATCTCCTTTTAACTAAACCATAATTACTTCCCAATGCCGGCAGAGTTGTTTCTTTAGCTCCCTCCACAAATCCCATAATATTACTGTCTATCATACCTTCAATTCTTCCTTGAGAACCAGATAACACATCACTCCTCCCATCATTACCATCTTCTTGCTTCCTGCTACGCAACTCCATGCTTCCATCAAAACCCACCAAATCCTTCAACTGATCCACATACTTGGACGACTCTGTTATCTCTGTTACCTTGAAACTACTATCGCTATGAAAATCACAATCAATCAAAGACACACATTCCTTAGGCGAAACTCGGGACCCTACATGGTTGGTTCTAAACATAAGAGAAAGATGAGAGATGCACAACAAAAACAACCGCCTCAGCAGCGACACAGCTGGGGTGGAGCTAGCAGTTGCGCTTTTGATGGCGAAGCAAAGAGTCTGTACTTGCTTCCCCAGATTGATTTGGCAGAGCCTCCATGTCGCGCTGAATCCGAGCCTGTTGCGGCCCTCCTGTCTACCAAGTCCAGTTAGACACATTGTGTTAAAGTTATGATCTTGACATTCAAATCAGCACATTATAACAGAAGATGCAATTATGCAACAAAACACTTACATTGCGGATAATATAAGGCCGAATCACAATTCCAAGAAGCAGCCCGAAAAGACATGACAATCCGAGACCCAAAAGCCAAATCGAAGCTGCTCCAAGTGCTGCAAATTGCATAATAACACCATTATCATGAAAATCAAAATTAAATTAAATATCGGAACCAAAATCCCCAAATGAATTACTGTAATTACACAAAAGCTCACCCGACGGAGAAGACCTAGCACAGTCCTCCGGCTTGAGATTAATCAACCGCACCAGCTGATTCCCGCGGTCCGAGACGAGAAGCGCGCACTTATCGGCAACGAAAGCCAGCTCCAAATCGGGCGAAAACGTTGCGTTTTGAGCAGGGCCGTCCTCACGTCCAGGCTTCAGTGAGTGAGTGTACCCTCCAGCAATTGTACTCACACTACCTTTTCATTTCACGTAATCCAGCAAAATACAGAGAGTTGGGTGAGTACTTACGAATTATGCCACGCTCGCAAAACCCTAGAAGAAGGAGTTACCTGAAGCGCTTATTTTCCGAATGACGTTGTTTCCCTTATCGGCAACGAAGACATTTCCTTTCGGGTCCACAGCGAAGCTCCGGGGCTTCTTGAACCGGGCCGAACCCGGTTCGCCGTCCGAATAACCCTCGACGCCGCCGGAGAACCTTTTAATCACACTCTCTGAAACATCACCTAAACTGTTTTAGCATCTACGAAAACTAACGTCGGTTCAGAAATCGGAAGTGGCTAGTTACTAGTTAAATTACCTTCTCGGATCCTGGTATGGGGAACGGTACTGTGTATACGGCACTGCCGGAAGAGTCGAGGACGAGGAGATCGGACGATCGAGGACGAGGGAGCACCGAGTGCGGGTTGATGCCGAGTTTGTGGCCGTCGATCACTGTCGTGACGGTGTACCCGTCTTCCAGCACCACGTCGGCGAGGACTGAAATGGAAATACATGGAAACGCAAATAAAATATTGATGCAAATTCAGACCTTTTTTTTTTAATAAATAAAATTACAGTTTACCTTGAAGTGAAGCTAGGTCGAGGAGGAGGAAGAAGAAGAAGAGAGCAACAGCGAAGGAGTGTGAAGCCATCGTCGCACGCCCAACAGTGGAAGCAAAAAAATTTCTACTTGTGCAGGTGAAATAAGAGAGCAGCTACTCATCTGGACCGTCGGAGGGATATGTAGTGGATTCGCGCCACGTCACCCCGGGTCCCACAACAATTCGCGCCAATCAAATCGAACTAGAGAGACCCAAAGGCCAAGCCAAGGGTGACCCATCCAACTCACAACAGCGGGTAATGCAATCAATACTCGCAGAGAATTTATGTGTCCGAGTTTATTTATTTTTATTTTTATTTTTCACATTTTAGAGTTAGACAATTTTTTATTTTAATTTCCGTTTACAAAGACCCAAAAAAGGAGCATTCATCGTAAGTGGAAGGAATAGAATAGACCCTGAAACAAAAAAGAAAAACTCAACAAAATATATACTCTCTCTCTCTCAGATCCAAATCTCTCTTTCTCTCTCTGAGCCTCTTCCTCAGATCTCTCTGGTGACATATTCGGATCCGATTTGCAATTCGGACTATCCACCTTGCCGCCCGAATCGGTGGGTATTTGATCGCCTGCCGCTGCTGCTAGGCTTTGCTTTCCCATTTTCGGATCGGATTGAGCTTTCCCGGAGCTTCACCACGGACCCAATCATGAATCCCTTCTCGTCCGGAACGCGCCTGAGGTAATAATTCACGAAACCCTCACTCATTTTCATCTTTTCGGATCAGTCTCTGAAATTCAAATTTGGATGAATTGAATTCTGTCAAATTTGGTTCATTTTTCATTGCTTTATACATTTACGTAGAAGCGGCAATGAAGCAACTTAGGGGTCGTATTGGGATGCTGGAGTTCGAACTTATTTCAGCTTCCACCTTATCTCATTTTGCAAATTAGTGAATACTAGCCCTTATTGATCCTAGTTTCAGTCTAGTTCATTTATAGAAAGCATGAAAGAAATAGAAATGAAACATAAGTTTAATGGAACACAGCAGGGCAGCTGAAGTAAATGGGGTTTGGGTCCATGATGGTGTAATGTAATGTTGAGGGATTTGATTTACGCTGCATCAAACTGCTCATACATTTTAGAAACTTGGATTGGCTGTGGTTTATTTACTTTGATTTTGATCAGATATTGAAATCCTGTAGAAGGAATTGTTTTAGTATCTCACAACCTACATGGCTCCCAAATCATAAGATTATTTCTCACTTTTCAGTCTATTTCCCATGATTTTGTTCAAGGCACTTCATATGGTTTGAAAATGATGTACCCAAATCCAAAATGAGTTATCACATTGTTAGTATATTTTGTTTTGCAGATGATGGTTGACAGACGTCAATTGTAGACTTGATCAGTATGTTATGTAATGAGTACTTACTGTTTCAATGCAGGGACATGATTCGGGCTATACGTGCTTGCAAAACTGCGGCAGAGGAACGTGCTGTTGTAAGAAAAGAGTGTGCTGCTATTCGTGCTGCCATAAATGAAAATGATCAAGATTACAGGCATCGCAACCTGGCTAAGCTCATGTTCATCCACATGCTGGGTTATCCCACCCATTTTGGTCAAATGGAGTGCCTGAAGTTGATTGCATCTTCCGGTTTTCCTGAGAAGAGAATAGGGTATCTTGGCCTCATGCTGCTTCTTGATGAAAGACAAGAAGTTCTAATGTTGGTCACAAACTCATTGAAACAGTATCCAATTCTTTGATGATTTTTCATTAGAATAAGCATTGCTCTCTCTCTCTCTCTCTCTCTCTCTCTCTCTCTCTCTCTTTAAATAAACAATTGTGTCAAAGATACGGTACTTTCACTTGCAGACATGGTTGTTTACATCTATGTGTCCTTGTAGAAACCTTAACTTATGTACAGAGATCTCAATCACTCAAACCAGTATATTGTGGGACTTGCTCTTTGTGCTTTGGGAAATATTTGTTCAGCAGAAATGGCTCGTGATCTTGCACCCGAAGTGGAAAGATTGCTGCAATTTCGAGATCCAAATATTCGGAAAAAGGTGAGTTTTACTAATATTTTTGTCATGGACCTACGACTCAATGTTTTGTTGCTTAAGGAACATCATATATTAATCTCATGAGATTCTGTCAATTTATTGAATTACTATGTGCAAGAAGTCTATTATACATTTCCTTTGTGGAAGCTCATTCCTTGAGCGACACCAAGATCCTTGGCCTTTTATAGTACACGTGGCTGATTCACTTGCATATTCTTTTGTTCACATAGCAAACAAAGAATAGCAATGAAATCTGTTCAACCCTTGCATTTCTGGTTGAAATTACTCTAGGCAGCCTCCTTTCCAGTTGAATGAGAAAACTCTTTTAAGCATCAATGTCCTATAAAACCTTTACACCTACAGTAATAGGATTTCAACTATGTATTTTGTTAATGTCTTATATTAGTTCTTATAGTCTACAGACACTTGAATTATCTGGTCATTGTGTTTCTGCTGCAGACCAACTTTCTGTCTGCAGTGGTCTTCTTTGGAATTTTTTTTATACTACTTGTTGCACATAAAATTCTATTGTTAGAAGGTATACTAAAATAGTTATGTGCAAAATTTGGATTTCTTGTGCAGTAGAAGGTTTGTTCTTAATTAGTCAATTTTAGATTTGTTCTATGTATCTTCTTTTTCTTGTGATTTTCTTTTCTTTGTTAAAAAAAACCAAAATAAAATTCAAAGTTTTGCAATATGAGGTTTGGAGTGTGTTGGGGGAGAATTACACTCTGACTTTTCTCCCAAATTGTGTTTGATAATTTGGCGTATATCTTTCATTTGGATACTTAATTTCTCATTGATCAATTTCCTTATTGTAAGTTGATTTCCCTCACTGTTGAATGTAGGCAGCGTTGTGCTCTATAAGGATTATAAAGAAAGTCCCTGAGCTGGCGGAAAATTTTATTAATCCTGCTGCTGCCTTACTTAAAGAAAAGCATCATGGTGTTTTAATAACAGGAGTTCAGCTTTGTACAGATCTTTGTAAAGTCAGTGAAGATGCCCTTGAATATTTTAGAAAGGTAACTTGACTCTGGGCCTATTATATATCTTGTCTATAGTCTGGAAAAGATACAATAATTCTGTTCTTGAAATGGAGTTTTAAGAAATTTTTGATAAAGTTAACTGAAATATTATGCTACCTTTGATTGCAGTTTTATGATGTAACATCCCGTCTTAATTGTTAATGCAGAAGTGCACAGAGGGTTTGGTCAAAACTCTAAAGGATGTAGTAAACAGTCCATATGCCCCCGAGTATGACATTGCTGGGATCACAGATCCTTTCCTTCATATTAGATTGCTTAAGCTTTTGCGTGAGTTGGGCCAAGGAGATGCAGATGCTAGTGAATGCATGAATGACATACTTGCTCAGGTAAGTTGCTGTAGAGTTTATATCATGCCATCTATGCCATTCATGGCATAATTATTTAATGTTTTGTGATTGCTGCTTTAAAATATTTCAACTTCACCCTCACCAATCACCCATACACTCAAAAGTCACGATTGCTTTCAAAGCACCACTTTCTCAATATATTTAATATTGCATTCTAGCTGTGAGAACTGTGAAAATACTATCATATGCATTTAGTCCATGCTTCTCCAAAATCTTTTTTCCATAAAATAAACTGATGCGACTATGATGTACCATTTTTGTTTTATTTATTTATTTTAACTATAATTAAATTACTTCTGAGACTATTAACTTCATCACCTTTGTGTGTTGTTTGTGGTAAGTAATGAAAGTGGTGTCACCTATTCCAATGGTTGTGGAGGCAAGTGCATCAAAAAGAGATGGGGGAAAAAATAGATCATTAATCTTCACCTCTCTTAAGGCCCCTTGTTTCAGATAGTCTAATTGGCTATGAGTTTAAGATGATGGCTCTTCTTTACATTGTTAATATTCATTTAAATTTAGTTTTGAAGTACCTTTTGTTGTTTCTTTGCACTTTGTATGCGGTTATTTCTGCTTATTATTCTTTAAGCCTGTGGTTCAGGGGGAATTGCTTTATAATTTGAAAAGTTACTCCTCATTTTTTATCTTCTTCTAAAATTGACTATTATTTCTTTTCCTAGGTGGCAACAAAAACCGAGTCAAACAAAAATGCAGGGAATGCGATTCTGTATGAATGCGTAGAAACCATCATGAGCATTGAAGATAATGGTGGCTTACGTGTTCTTGCCATCAATATTTTGGGAAGATTCTTATCGAATCGTGACAACAATATTAGGTTTGTTTATGATACTTTAACTTGGGCAAGGCTTTACTGTTTTGTAAGAAGGAAAATTAGGATCATAGTGCTATAAGTTTGATTGGAATACCTCTTTTATATTCTGGGATTAAGTTGAAATGCTTTGCAATTTATGATAATGTCTTTCTTAAGAGGTCATGTTGATGGATCTTATTTTTCCCAACTGGTTGCTATGTTTTATGTAAATCTCTCTTTTCTAATAAAGCGCTGCTGTTGACTCAATCGGGTCATAGGGCTTGGCCTTTGTAAAATGCGAGCTAGTATGTATGAGAGAGAGAGAGAGAGAGAGAGAGAGGCCTTGAATGCCCCAACAATGGTAACTGTGTACAACTTGCCTAAGTGTAAACAGACCGCAGGCATGCACCAATACGCTAAACATAGGAGGATATTTACATGAGTAGTGTGAGTCTAGGTATGCCTCTCATTAGTCTGCGATCGTATCAGTGTTGTATTTTCCAACTCTGGTAGTTGCTTAGAGACTAATCTCTTGTGCATTGGGATTCTCAACTTGATTTATCCAATTAACCCAAAATCCTTATTGTTGGTGGTGAAACCAGTGGCATGCAGCCCAGATGTCTGTTTCTTTCAGGTTCTTTTTTAGTTTTAAATTTTAAATATTTGATGAATCGATATTCAAGCTTTGTCATCATTTGGCCTTGTTATGTTCTTACTGAGCTCTTTGCAACTTTTTGTTATTTCATAATAATGTATCAGTTTTTAATTCCTTCCAGATATGTTGCATTAAACATGCTGATGAAGGCAATTACAGTTGATGCTCAAGCGGTACAGAGGCATCGGGCAACTATCTTGGAATGCGTAAAGGTATAGTGTTTGCTCATGTTTAATTTG